CCGGGGCGCCGGCGGCGAGGCCGCGGCCGCGCGGCTCCTCGCCGCGGCGGCGGCGCGCTGGCTCGGCGCGGCGCTCCGGAAGGCCTGGAACTCCTGGGCGGGCCTCGCGCGGGCCGCGGCCGCGGCCGCGGCGCTCGACGCGGCCGGGGCCCGGGCCGCGCGCGACCACGCCGCGGCGCTCGAATCGGCGCTCCGCGGCCGCGAGGCGGAGCTCCACGGCGCCCACGACCCGCACCTGGGCCGCCTGCTGGTCGCGCACGCGTCGGAGCTCGCGAGCGCCGGGGAGCTGCTCGCGCTCGAGAAGGACCGCGAGCGCGACGCGGCGCTCGCGGCCGAGCTCCGCGCGCGCGACGACGAGCGCGCCGTGGCCCTCGAGCGGCTCCAGAAGGAGCTCACGGAGCGCTACGTCGCGGCGCTCGGCGAGCAGGAGGCCGCGAGCCGCGAGGTCCAGGCGCGGCTCGCGCGGGACCACGAGGCGCGCGAGGCCGCCTGGGACGACGCGCGCGCGGACCTGGAGGCGCGGCTCGCCGCGGCGCGGGGCGCCGCGGACGACCGCGCGCGCGAGGCCGCCGCGGCGGCCGCGCGCGACGTCGAGCGGCGCCGCGACGCGGACCTGGAGGCGAAGCTCGCGCGGCTCCGCGAGAAGCACGCCGCGGAGCTCGACGCGGCGACGGAGCGCCTCGACATCGACAAGGACCGCGACCACGCGCGGGCCTTGGCCGCCGCGCTCCGGGACCGCGACGACGCGCACGCGGCGCGGCTCGCGGGCCGCGAGCGCGAGCTCGAGCAGGGCACGAAGCGCGCGCTCGCCGCGCTCCGGGCCGAGCTCGCGGCGAAGCATGCCGAGCACTCCGCGGACGCCGCGCGGGCCTTCAAGGAGCGCACGGCGCAGCTCGAGGCGCGCCACGACGGCGCGCTCGCGTCCGCGAGGGCGTCCGCGGACGCGGCCAAGGCCGCGGCGCTCGACGCGCAGCGGGAGCGCCTCGCGGCGCTCCGCGGCGGCGCCGTGCGCGACGCCGTCGCGCGGGCCGAGGCCGCGGCGGACCGCGAGCGCGCGGACGCGCTCGCGGCGCTCGCCGCGCGCCTCGGGGCCGGCGCGGGCCGCGTCCATGAGGCGCTATCTGGCGCGGTGGCGCGCGGGGCGCCTCGCGCGCGCCCTCGAGGCCTGGGCGGCCGGGGCGCGGGCCGCGGCGGCGCGCGAGGCCGCCGCGCGGCGCTGCGCGGCGCGGTGGACGCGGCTCGCGGCCGCGCGCGGCTTCCGGGCCTGGAAGGCCGCGGCGGCGGCCGCCGCGGGCGGCGCGCGGGGCGCGCGGGCCCTGCGGCGCTGGCGCGCCGCCGTCGACCGGCGGGGCGTCCTCGCGGCCTGGGCCGCGTGGCGCGGCGCGTGCCTCGTCGACGGCAGGGCCGTGAAGCGCCTCGAGGAGCGGCACGCGGCCGCGCTCGAGTCGACGATGGCCGAGTACGAGGACCTCATGCAGGCGGCGCTCGCGGCGGCGTCCGAGGACCACGCCGCGGCGCTGAAGCGCGAGAAGCGGGCGAGCGCGGCGCGCGAGGCCGCCGCGGCGAAACGACAGGGCGACGAGGCCGCGCGGCGCGGCGCCGCGGAGGTGTCGTTCCTCGAGAGGAGCCACGGCGCGACGGTGCGGGGCCTGCGGCTCCGCGCGGCCGTGGGCTTCTTGCCGCGGCGGGGCCTCCAGTCCGCTTTCCGGCGCTGGGCCGCGGCCGCGCGGCCCGCGCTCGCGGCGCCGCCGCTAAGAGGCTCGCGGCTCCTGCCGCTCGTCGTCCGCCGCGCGCTGGGCCGGTTGCTGCACAAGACGCTCGCCGAGGCCTTCGGGGCCTGGCTCGCCGCCGACGCCGCGGCGAAGGGCGCGCTCGCGGCCGTGGGGACCGCGTCTCAGCGCCTCGCGCGGAAGCTGCGCCACTGGTCGCGGCGGGCGCTCGCGACGGGCTTCCGCACGTGGCGGGCCAACGCGGCCATCCGGCGGGGCAAGCTCGAGGTCGCCTTCACGCGGCTCCTGGCGGCCGTGCGCCGCTGGAGCCGCGGCGCGGTCAAGGGCGCGTTCATCAAGTGGCGGGCGCGCGCGGACGACCGCGACCGCGGCGCGAAGATCCTCTTCGGCACGCTCCACCGCTTCGTGACGGCGTCGCTGCTCAGCGCGTTCCGCCAGTGGCACGACCACTTCCTGTTCATGACGGCGCTGCACCGCGCGCTCGCGGGCACGCTCATGCGCAACAAGCGGAAGATGCTCGAGCTCCAGCGCGCGGCCCAGGGCGCGAACGGCGGCGGCGCCGCGCCGCGCCGCGACGGCCGCAACGGCGGGACCCACGACCGCGACGCGCCCGCGGCGGGCTCGACGGCCGAGCGCCGCGCGGTCGCCAAGGCCAAGGCGCTGAGCCTCCTGCTCCAGAAGCGCGAGCTCGACGCGCACCGCGCCATCGACGAGCTCCAGCGCGAGAACGATTTGCTGCGCGCGCGGCTCTCCGGCGACGCGTCGTCGCGCGACCGGTCGGACTCGGACGCGTCGTCGCTGCCGCCGCCGCCGCCGCGGGCCGCCGCGCCGCCGTCGCCGCACCTGCGCCGCGTGCTCAGCGACGCGCCGGACGTCGTCCAGGACCTCCCGGACGACTTCGGCGGCCGCGTCGGCGCCGGCGTCCGCGGCGCGCTCGCGGCCGTCCACGCGCGCGCCGAGGGCCGCCTCGCGGTGATCCCCGACGGCGACCGGCCGCCGCCGCCGCCGCCGCCGCCGGCGACGCGGGCCATCAGCCCCTACCGGCCGCGGCCGCCGCCGGCGCCCGTCCCGGACGAGACCTACGCGCCGCCGCGGCCCCTCGTCGTCCCGCGGCCCGTCGCGGCGCCCGCCGCGCCCGCGGCGGCGGCCGAGGCCGCGTTCTACCGCGCGCGGCTCGAGGCGGAGCGCGCGGACCACGCCCAGGCCGCCGCGCTCGCGGAGGAGAAGCTCGCCAAGGCCGTCGCGCGCCGCGCGCCGCGGCGCCGCGGCGGCCTCGAGCTGTCGTTCCTCGCCATCGGGGCCGTCGGATGGGCCATCCTCGCCTTCCACACCATGCGGGCCTGGCTCACGGACGAGCAGGCCTACCTCTACGAGCGCGACCTCTACCGGGTCGTGCAGTAGTCGGGAAAGACAAAAAAAAACAACGAAGAAGACGCGACGCTCGGTAGCTCCCCCTCTGCCGGGCCGCCGGCGTCTTCCGAGGAAGAAACAAGAGATGAAAGAAGAGATGAACAAGAGAACCGCTCCTGCTGCGATCGAGACGCCCCGTCTCGAGACGCGCGCGGAGCCCGGAGGCGACGCGGCCGGTAGCTCCCCCTCTGCCGGCCGCCGTCGTCGTCCGAGAAAAACACACAAGAGATGACAAGCGAACGCTCCTGCTGCGATCGAGACGCCCCGTCTCGAGACGCGCGCGGAGCCCGGAGGCGACGCGGCCGGTAGCTCCCCCTCTGCCCGCCGCCGTCGCCTCCCCCCAGCGCCGACGAAGATCTCGTCGGCGCGAACCCAAAAAAACAATCGCGATCCTGCTGCGATCGCCCCGCGAGGGCGAGACGCGCGGATCCAGCGCCGGCGCCGCTCTCGGCGCCGGCGCCGGGCTCACGCCCGAAACCAAGCACGTTGTGAAACGAGACACCCGCGGCGACGCGCCTCAGATGACCACCTCTCGAGCGCGCGACCGCCGCCAGACCACGTCCGCAGTTCCCCCAATTCCGACTAACTGCGTTGTGAATCGTAAAGGGTGATCGGTCTAGATGCTAGTAGCGGGAAGTTCTTTTACGTCCGCGGGCGCTCAGTCGGCGAAGGGCAGCTCGCTGAAGAGGCGGCGGCTCTCACCAGCGGGTGTGTTGTGCAACCAAAGCTCCGCCTCGGAAATGCTCTTGCGTTGGCAGAACTCGCGGCAGCATTCAGTCAGGCATTCTCGCAGCATCTCCTCAAAGTGCGCGTTTTTCGCGAACGTCAACTGCTCGTAGCGCTGGCACGCGTAGGTGACGAACTCGGTCTGTAAATCGCTCAGCCGCCCGTCGCACTTCTCGCCAATGACTTCGATGAGCGACTTCTTGAAGACCACCGCGATCGCTTTGCTATCGGCGGCCCGCGCCTTCGCCGCCGCTTCCTTTGAACGCCGCGTCATCTGGAACCGGCGGTCCATCGGCGCGAAAAGCCCGGGATGATTCGTCTTGAGCTCGCGACTCCACTCGCCGAACGTGGGGGCGACCGCGTCCGGGCCGGGGGGCAGGGGCCGCGTGCCGGGCCGAAGCGCGACGCCGGACATCTTCAGGCTCGGCGGCGGCATTGGTTTTCCCCCATTCTTCAGAAAGCTAGACGCATCCCATTCGACGGTCGAAGCCACAGAAATATCGTCCGAATCGGACTGAGTCTCGCCGACGGACTCCGATTCCCGCCCGGCGCGCGACGGCTCGAGCCCGGGCGCGGCCGCGGGCGACGGCTCGAGCCAGGGCGCGATCGTGGGCGCGCTTGGTCCGAGGAGACGAACGAGAAAGCGCCGCTCGAGCCCCGCGAGCTCGCGGCTCCGCCGCTCCACGTCCTCGGGCGTGCGCCGGTCCATGTCCGCCTGACGCCGCCGGAAGACCAGCCCGGCGATACCGTCCCCGGCGCCATCGAAACGTCCGTTGATCCGATTCAGGTCGGAATTGAGCAGCCTCGACAAGAACGTCCGCAGCGTCGTGCCGTCAGAGAGAGGGAGAAGGCCGAGTTTGAATTCGTCGATGAGGCGGTTCGCGTACGCGACCTCCTCGGCGGACCAGGACTCGTTGCTCGCACGTAGCCCGCGCCTTAAGAACATGATTAATCGTGTCGCGACGATAGATTGCAGCGGGGTCTCGACCGGCGCCGACAATTTGACGGTGACAGTTGCGCCTGAGGCAATTTTTGAGAAGCGAGCGAGCGTCGAAGTCGAAAGACTCCCCCCTCCCTTCGAGCGAGCGCGTAGCAGAGCCCCCCCCGACACGACGACGAGGCCCGAGCGGTCCCTTACCGGTGGCGCGAGTTCGCGGCCTCCATGGCCTTCTCGTAGGCCTCGTTGATGCGCGCCATGGCCGCGGTCGCGCCCGGCGAGTCGTTGCGGTCCGGGTGGAACTTGAGGGCGAGCTTGGCGTAGGCCTTCTTGACGACGCCCGGCGGCGCGTCGGACGCGACGCCGAGGACCGCGTGGTGCGACGCCTTGGCCGCGACGCCCGCGGACGACGACGCGGGCCGCGCGCGGGGCTTGGGCTTGTCGTCGCGGCGGCGCCAGGACGACGCGGCGGGCGGCGGCGGCGCGCCGCGCGCCCTGCCGAAGAAGGCGTCGGCGTGGGGCGCGCGCGCGGACGACGACGACGACGCCGACGGCCGCGGGTGCGCGTAGGACTGGCGCGGCGGCGGCGGCGGCGCCGCGGGCCGCGGCGCGGCGGGCGGGCGGCGGCCGTGGAAGGCCGAGGCGCCCGGCCGCGCGCGCGCGGCCGCGGCCGCGCGGGCCCGGTCGTCGAGCGCGTCCTGGGTCGCGCGGCGCTCGCGCTTCGCGTCGGCGACGTCGGCCGCGGACGCGGCGCGGCTGCCCGCGGCGCCGCGGACGTAGTGGTCGAAGTCCTTGACGGCGCCCGGGAGGTCGTCGGAGCGGCTCCGCGCGCGCGCGCGGCGGAGCCGCGCGCGGAGGTAGCCCGGCCGCAGCCGCAGCGCCTTGGAGCAGTGGTCCGCGGCCTCGGCGCCGCGGTCGAGGACGAGCGCGCACGCGGCGACGTTGCAGTGGATCGCGGCCCTCAACCCGTCGAGCTCGTCGAACGCGTCCAGGCGCAGCGCGTCCTTGTACATGGCCGCGGCCGCGCGGTAGTGGCCCCGCGCGTAGGCGTCGTCGGCGCGGACCTTGGCCCGCCGCGTCTTCGTCGCGCGGTTCAGCTCGAGCTCGCAGCGCGTGCGCGCGCGCCGCTCCTCCGGCGACGGGCCCCGGGTGACGTCGGCCGCGGCGACGGCGGCGAGCGCCGCGTCCGCGAGCGACTTGGCGCCGTCGCACGCGGCGTCGGGCGCCTCGGCGCACCGCAGCGTCCAGACCCAGAGCTCCGCCAGGCTCCGCTCCTCGGCCTCGCCGCCGAGCGACTCGTCGAGCGGCGACGCGCGCGCGAGCGCGAGGGCGACGCGCGCCGCGCGGCCGCGGTCGTCCTCGGCGCCGCCCTTGGGCCGCGCGGCCGTCGTCGCGCAGGTCTCGCAGAACTCGGCGCACTCGCGCCACTTGTCGAGGCGGTGGAGCGCCGACGCCTTGGCGAGGCGCGCGTCGCGGCTCAGCGGCGCGCGGAGCAGCGCGTCCTCCGCGGCCTTCAAGGCCCTGTCGCAGTCGGCGTCGTAGGCCGCGCGCCGCGCGTCGCGGCGCTTCTTCGCGGCGGAGCCGTGGCGCCGCGGCTCGTCGGGCGTCGTCGGCGACTCGTCGCCCTTGCCCGGGAAGAGCGCGGGCCCCGCGTTCTCGTCGTTCGCCGCGCCGGCCTCGCGCGCCTTCTGCCGCGCGCCGTCGAGCGCCGCGCCGCAGCGCCGCAGGGCGTCCTTGTAGCGCTCCACGTCCACGAGGCCCGCGTCGGCGGTCTGGAGCGCGTTGAGGGCGTCGTGGGGCGCCGCGGAGCCGCGGAGCCGCGCGTCGTCGACGAGGCGCTTCGCGGCGTCGCGCGCGCGCTCGAAGGACCGCGACGCCGCCTTGGGCAGGCCGAGCGCGAGCCGGAGCCGCGCGGACCGGTTGTGGACCTTGGCCAGCGTCGGCTCGAGCTCGACGGCGGCGTCGCAGTCCTCGAGCGCCTCCTCGTGCTTGCCGAGCATCGTCAAAGCCGCGCCCCGGTTGCCCAGCGCCTTCGCCGCGAGCGCCCAGCCGGGCACCGCGAGCTTCAGGGCGACGCCGTAGGACCGCGTCGCGCCGTCGTAGTCGCCGCCCTCGTACTCGCGGCCCGCGCGCTCGTACCACTCGAGCGCGCCCGGGTCCTTGGGCGCGTCGACCCTGGACCGGCGGCGCTCGCGCTTCTTCTTCGCGGACGCGGGCTTCCGGTCGGGCGACTGCGTCCCGACGGTGAACGTGGGGCCCTCGGAGAACGTGGGGCCCCCGTCCTCGTCCATGGGCGCGTCCTCGGGCGGCAGCACGCTCTGGGGCTCGGCGGCGTCCGACAGGGCTGACTGGGGCGCGGGCGACCGCGCGTTCTTCGTCGCCTTCCGCGGCGCGGGCGGCGCGGGCGGCGGCGCGCCGACCGCGAAGACGCCCGGCACGGCCGCGGGCGGCGGCGGCACGGCCGGTGGCGGCGGCGGCGGCTCGTCGTCGACGTCCATGGACGCGAAGTCGAGCCGGCGCGCCGCGTCGGGCCGCGGCGGCGCTTTCGGCGGCGCGGTCGTGCCGATGTGGAAGCCGCCGAGGTCGGGCGCCTCGAACGCGGGCGCGGGCGCCGCGCGCGCGGCGAAGGGCGGCGGGCTCGGGCCGCCGGCCTTGCGCCCGCGCGCCGTCGCCTTCTTCT